GATTTTCTCATCTTATCTTAACTGTCATGGTAGCTCAGTCAGTAGAGTGCTCGCTCCATGATCGGAAGGTAGTGTGTTCAAATCACGGCCATGACTGACCTAAGTTGATGAAAAATAGGTAGCGGCTGTTCCTTCACCAAGCGCTAGGCACTTTGAAGTGAAAGTTGCGGGTCTTTCGAATGAGACCTTAAAAACCGAGGCCCCGTGTCATGTTAGGCGTTGGCACAATGAAGAGTGCCGAGTAAAGGTTTAAATTTGAAGCCCTTCACTGGTATATGGTGACGTCTCTATATGAGTGAAAAATTCTTGAACAACATACAATCAACCAATCTCATCTTATCTTTTTTGTTTTCAGTAGCATTTCTAAATACTGTTCTACAATGATATTTTATTATGCTTTGTATTATACAAACTTTTTTTTGAAATCATACTTTTGTGCACTTGGGTAAGACTTTAGAGAAATAAATCCAGATAAGAGTGCAACTTTTTGTTTGCAGTAATTATACACTTTTTTAATAGGTGGCACTGTAGCTCTTTATATATATATATATATATATATATATATATATATATATATATATATATATATATATACATGTATATATATATATTGGACAGTATAAATAGAAATTTTTGTGAAATTCTTTCAAAACCCTATTTGTCCTACAGTTTTAGTTTAAATTAAACTCAGCACACAAGTGGTCTACACTAAGATACAAAATTCTTTATATGTGGTGAGTGGGGTTGCCATTGTTGTCAAAAATAGGAATTTCTGTGAAATTCTTTCAAAATGCTACTCCTTCTACACTTTTGGTCCCATTTCAGTGAATTTAAACAAATACCTAATTCTTTTTATCAGTTTTTGATCTTGATGAACAATGTTGCCATGGTTACTAAAACTCTTTCAAAAAGCTACTTTTTCTACAGTTTTGATTCTATTACAGCTTTTTACGAAAGTAGACTATGCTCTGACACATAACTCTGTTTTTGATTTTTAGATTTCGATGAATAGTGTTGACATGCTTACTAATAATAAAAATTTCAAAAAGTATCAAAAGCTATTCCTCCTACAGTTTGTTTTTATTTTTTAATCAAAGTTTGGTCATGGTAATTAAAAATAGAAATTTCTATGAATTCTTTCAAAAGGCTACTTCTACTACGGTTTTTGTCCAATTGCAATTGACACAGAGACTAAACCCAGAATCATTATTTTATTTATTGCTGTTGCCATACCTTAAGTCCAAATGCTACTTTTCTCTATCTTTATTAAGTAAAAACCAGTAGAGCTATGTACAGTGTTATCAGAGACTTCAGGTTCACATTGCAGAACAAAATCATTTTTTTTTAATTTCAGGTACATTAAATTTTTCAAATTGATAAGTACATATATATCAACAATGTTACATGTACCATATTGATCAGGTTGGGACCAATTGCCAAAATGGGATAATAGTCCATATGGGTTATAAATTGACAATGAAAGAAATGAAGTAAAAAAAAATAATTATATTAATAACTATAACTATCATAAAAGTGCATTACAATACATGTACATAGGAAGCAACAGCTTAATAACTATGGAAGTTTTTCTATAACCTTAATGTGCAGCAGGTTTACAATTTTAATAGCAAAATATTTTTTTCTATTTTTTGCACTGTAGAAAGTCCCATTTTGGATATATTATCACATATCCCAAATGGTCTATATAATATCCTGTTTGGTGACTGTTCCCAACCTCCTAAGGAATTCCTGATTCCCAGCTGTTTAGAAAGGCATTTTTATGGTCCTGTAATTGAAGGTTCAGGGCATGTAGTTTTTGCTCTGTCCATCCGTCTGTCTGCAAAAACTGCATAACCTTGCCCATAACTTTTGATTGGTGTGAGCTATGGCTTTCATATTTCACTTTTGTATTCATTGTGACAAGACCTTTAAGTTCCAATATAATTGACCTCTTGACCTTGGGGTTTGATTCAATTTTGCTGTCTTTATAAAATTTTATCTGATTTGATCATATGGTCTTACTAAGATACCAACAACATTTTAGCGGTCTAATTTAAAAAAAAAAATAAATTCAAAAGGTACATGTATATGATGTATTCTGGGAAAATTTAGTTCAATCATAGCTTTTTTACAAGGCTGTGCAGTTTTTAAAGCAGAAGTTTTCTAATGTGGTTTTTTTTTTCGCGAAAGGAATTATTATGGAATTAACCTTACGATCTGGAGTAAAAATTCAAAAATGTTAAAAGATTGTGCAAATTCTATGCAGCTGTTCACTGCAGTACAAACACCGTTTGTGTACATGTGAATGACCAGGGCCCATGTTAATGTGGAGTAAAAATAGGTCAATTTTTGAATTGATTTCATCATATCTCGGGAAGTGTATGGGATTTCAGATTGAACTTTGGTAGTGCATGTAATGTAGATTGTTTATATGTGAACAGATATAAATAGAAAGTAAAATATTAGATCATTTGACCGAAAGTATTTTATTGGCAAAATTGGGTACCCTATGTAAGGAGTTCCATACCTTTATTTTTGTTTAACACCTCAAAAGTCGGATAAAAGCGATCTTAAAGCCTGTTTGCTAGGGCTTTCATGTTTCACATGTGTGGTTCTTGTGACAAGACCTTCTCACTGCTTCCTCATAGGGGTCCAACAATTTTGACGTTCGAGTTTGACCTACTTTTGAAAAACTGAAACCTTTGCCATAACTTTTGAACATTAGGAGCTTATAATTAGGGCTGTCATATTTCACATGTATATTTCTTATGACAGACCTTGCATTTGGGTACCAATAGTTCTGTCTTTGTCCTTGGAGATTGACTTACTTTTGAAAAACTTTAAAGCTTGGCCATTGAGTTTTTAATGGTTGGTCAGGGCTTTCATATTTCACAGGTGTATTCCTTGCGACAAGACCTTTCTTCGGGTACTGATATTTTTTATCTCTTGACCTTGGAATTTGACTTGCATATGAGCAGGGATGGGGTAATCGTAATCGAGTAATCGTAATCGATTGTAATGAGTACTTTTTTTCAAGTAATTGACAGTAATCTGTAATCGAAAAGATTTTCAATTACTTGTAATCGTAATTTAATCGATTTACAGCTAAAATTTTCAGTGTAGTTATAATTACTTTTTCGATTACTTTCGATTATTTTATGCTTAAATGGATGTTATTTTGGAGAAGTATTTCCAGTCAGTCACACATGAATATCAAATATAAACCACCTAGTGATATGTTTTGATTTCCTAACATTTATTATCATAAGTTTAATAATGTTCTCAATAAAATTTGCATTATAGACCTACTGGTCTAGTATGAAATAATTCAGAAGTGTATTTCAACCATTTAATAATAAAATATACAGATTTTTTGTGTGCATTTTACATTTGACCCAGTGTCCTTTTTCATATTTCAGATGTTGAAAAACTTGGTCTTGTAATAGAAAATTATAAATAGCAAAAACAGATTTAAGTGCTGTATTAAATATAAATAATTTGGTAAATAAACTACGTTGTACTCAAAAAAAAGAAGAAGATGGAAATACTTCATATCTGAAAATGTTTAAACTACTTCAAACTTGTATTTAAGTAACTTTAAAATTTGCAAAATCATTCTCATGTTTTCATTCAAAATTGTAAGGTTGCTTTTATAACAGTGAGAGGTTATAAGTGTCTGTAAGAGAGATTAGTGTGTCACTGTGTTTGTAATTGGCTAATTAATTGACTGAGACATCCCTGATTTGCAGATATTGAGGTGTAAACTGTGAACTACCTAGTGTTTAACTTTTATAATTCATAGTTCCATTGAAGACAAACAATATTATTAAAACAATTTAAAAGCTCTCAAAACACTTATTTTAACACAGAATGAAATTGTGCTATTAGTTTAATTACTTAAAAACACATTTAATTTACATGTTTATTACTAAGAGTTCTAATTTACTTATTTTTTTGAAAAAGACACGTACAGGAATGTTTAATGTGTACTGTCAACATATACGGGCAGCCCAAATACATGTACTTCTAATGAAGTAATTCACAATAAAATATTAAATAATTTTTGATACAATTCAATAAATATGGAGGGACAGATCCAAGGTTAAAAGGAATAATTAATTCCTTGGCATATTTTATTGTAGGAATCATGTCTACACTTTCCATGGTAGAGAATCCCTCCTTTGGGCATTTAGTGAGAATGTTAGCCAGAATAAAACCATAAAAGAATCTGCACTGAAACTGTAGGAACACATTCAAACTTCAGTAGATAACATCAACATTTACCATTTAAATATTGCTTTGATATTTGAAGGGATAAAAACTTGGAAGTAATCGATATATTAATCTATTACATCTTCCAAAGTAATCGACTACAATGGATTACAGGACAAAAATGAGTGTAATCGATTAACAATCGATTACACAAAATTCCTATAAGTAATTGATTATTAATCGATAACATTTTTCAGTAATCGTGCCCATCCCTGCATTTGAGGAACTTTAATTTCACCTTGAGCTGCCATACAGGAGCATCAGTGTTTCACAAACACATCTTGTTTATTGATATTCTTCATATGAAGAGAATTGCTTCATACTTTTCAGGAATTGTTTATTATTATTCTCGTATTACATAAATATTTTAACAATGTTACATGTACATGTACCTTGCAACTGTACAGTACATATGTCATCTTCCAAAAGTGGTAAATCTAAAAATACCAATAGTAATTGCTTTAAAATGTTGATTTGTTTATTTGAGTCCTTAAATATGTTCATTCTTGACATTGCATGAAAAGATGTATCAATTCAATACATGTGTAGCAAAATTTAACATGCCTAAGACGAACATGTATGAGGCTATTCTGTTCAGCAATATGATATAAAATACATGTATCAAAAGGAAATCTCAATCAGAGGCAGGTGTGAGACAGTAGAAGTAGATTTACTGCCTTCAATTTTAAAGTCTGAGGTTTACTAAACTCGATCTAATTTTTTTTCAGCTTCCAGTTCAGGAGAGGTGTTGACATAAGAGCAACCCAGTTAGAAGAGGCTGGCAGAGAGGAAAATAAAAAAGCTAGTGGAGAGGACAGAAGAAAGGCTGGTGGAGAAAATAGAAAAGAGGCTTTTGGAGAGGATAGAAGAGAACCTGGTGGAGAGGATAGAAAATAAGCTGGTAGAGAGAATAGTAGAGAGGAGAGGATTGTAGAGAGGCAAGTGAAGAGGATAGTAGACAGGCTGGTGAAGACCATTCAAATGGTGTCCATTCTTGTTGAGTACTTGTCAATGATTCTTTCCTGGAAGCATGAATGATTTCTGTCCAAAAGGTGACTATCCATGTGGCTTTTGCCATGATAATTGTGATGGCTATAAATGTGTTGGTTGTGACAAATGTGAAGATTGGTTTCACCAAAATTGTGAGGGATTGTCCAATGCTGCTTTCAATTACTTAAAGAACTGCACACTGCCCTACATTTGTTCTAGGTGTTGTGAGAACATTTCGGGGTTTTTTGATTATGATAAGTCTCTGGGCAGATTAGAATTTGCTATTCAATCTGGGTGTTTTGAGATGGGGGCTAGGATGGAGACAATATTTATGCGTAGAGAACCTAAACGGTTGCTACCAAAACAAGCTTTTAGATTTGAACATTCAATGAGTATAGATCATCTGGCCTCTGATTTGGTAGGAAAATCAGATTTTGTGCCTGTTTTAGTCAGGGGAAACGGGAATTGTTTGTTTAATGCTTTGTCAATTGCTATTCAGGGCAATGAAAAACTTGCATCAGAGATAAGGGTCAGGACTTGTCTTGAGATGTTTTATCATAAAGACTTCTACATAAACAGTCACAAGCGGGATAGAATGGCATTGGTATCTCCTCCATATGAGGAAGCAGTTGGGAACTGTGCACAAAATTTCAAGTTTTCAAGTGCATGGACAATTCATGCTGCTGCTACTGTAATATCGAGGTGCATCAAGTCTTTATACCCACCAGTTCACGGTCTCCTTGACCCATCAGTTTCAATTTTAAACTGTGAATTCCGACCACGTGCTCTACAGAGCAAGCACACCATAAATATTTTATGGTGCAGCATGATACAAGACAAGAGTGGTAACTGTTTGACCAATCATTTTGTTCCCCTATTGCCCCCTGCTCCAATGAATGTAATTGATATCGATCTTTCACCATCATCTTTTGAGGAACTTGCATCCCTGGAGAATTCATCTTCAAACAATCCGCCATTGTCTCCTTCCAGAACGTCTGGCTTAGACCACCCTTATAGTAAATCCCCAAAGTACCTTTCATTGAACAATTCAGATCAAGAGTGTGACCAAAAGCAGCCACCACTGTCCTCAACTAAATCTTCCTCTTCAGACCTTCATTATGGAAAAGCGAAACGGCAATTCTCTAAAACTACAATTGAAACTGATAATCTTCCACCCTCGAACAACACCAATCAAACCTGCGAACAAAATCGGTCCAGTAATATTTCTTTGAAAATTGAGGCAATTGGTCGTGTTGACAACTCATTTTTTGATGCTGAATGTTTACTAAACATTTTCAAAACTTTCCCTGTGTCAGAAGCACTTCCATCAATTCCTCCTGGTTTAAAAAACAATGTATATTTTATCATTAAAAATACTGCAAACATAGTAGGTGACAAAAAATGTTCTTTTCCTGATGATTGTGGAACTTGGAGCAAAGGGAGTGCACCAAAAACTTATTTCCTTCGACGAGAATCTGGGGAATACAGAAACATTATTTTAAGAAATAAAATGTTCCACTTAAATACAAGAAGTAAAGGCAAATCCATTTACATCTTAATGGAACCGCAACCAGATCCTTCAAAAATTTTGACACTATGTCGCTATTACACAGCACTTAAATTGGATCCAACTTACAGAAGACGTATTTCGTGGATGAATTCAAGCAGTGTTTTTGTAGTCGAATATTTGGGCATGTTTCCTGGGCTGGCCCCTCATGGAAATTCCAAACGTAAACAGGCATATGTGCGTGCTCCTTATGATGTCAGTCATGTCATGGAAGAAATGCCAGACTTCTTAGAAGACATTTAAAATAATCATGTCTGGTGACCATTATGAATTGAATATGACCTTGTGGCATTTGTAATATAGGATGGGTTCATGACAAAAAAGAAGACATCTTGGAATGAGTTTAGATATATTATTCATGGTTGTTATATGTCCTAGTATAATTGTTAAAAAAGAAAAGGTGACAATTGTCACTTCCATACAAAGTTTGCGGTATTAAATGTGATTTTAATTCGCATCGTCTTATCTTTACTAGTATTCAATAGCATTGCTAAATATTGGCCATAGCTTTACATTTATATTAGTTTTATTATTGGATTTTTACGAGAAGCGCTGACTTTTACAGTCGACGGCTTACGTTTACACTAGGACAATATACGGAAGCTCTTTTGCGATATAAATACTTAGCTGAACAATTAATTTTGTTTGTATGTTGTTTAACGTCCCTCTCGAGAATTTTTCACTCGTATGGAGACGCCACCACTTGCCGGTGGAGAGCTGCAAATGTTGTCCTATACTCGGCACTTACGGCCATTGAGCAGTGAGGGATCTTTTTCGTGCCAGCACCTACTGCAACACGGGACCTCGGTTTATACGGTCTCATCCGAAGGACCGGTCTCCACGTCCCACAGTGGGATTCGAACCCGCGACGTAAGGATCAACTCCTTACTCCGCCACTCTATAGCAGACGCTCTAACCACTGCGCCACGCGGGCGACGAACAATTAATTAAAGGTAATAATGGGCGGTTTCAAAGCACATACTAGTATGACGTTGTCTAGGAAGGGAACTGCAACCACCCTATCCTCAACCCCTCCCTTTCCACCTTGACCAACTCAGGACTGTCAAGTTTTCGTTCGATTTTTTCTTCCTTATTTAATTTCTTCAGCAAAGTGGATTGAAAGGAGATACTACCTCTCACGAATAACATATTTTAAGTTATGTTATTCTGCCTCCCATCTTACCTTGTGTTGATTGTGTATAGGTAAATCATGTAAGTGCCCCTAACACAATACCTATAACCACTGTTAATGTTTTCTTATTTTTTAACAATTCCGTACATTACATAGGTTTAAATATCAAAGTAAGCCGTCGACTGTAAAAGTTAGCGCTTCTGGGTCCATTAGTAGTAGTATACAAACATCCTTTTATGCATACAAATACATGTAGCTCGGATCTTTGGAACACTATCCGGATCTTACACCCCAAAATTAGACTCCTTAAAGCTGAGCATGAGTAGTAAATGGAAGAGAGTTGTCTTTGTCTGCCATATTTTTATCCTCTAGACTTTACTTCTTAAGCCCCTTTATAAGCCTCAGCCTAGTTCACGGTTAAATGTATTTTACATTACAGAATTCACCTTTAAGGTAGTCCGATCCTCAGGTTCTGAAAATCAGCTTTTTAGTAATTGAAAATGCTCTCAAAAATATCTGATTTCACATAGTAACGTGAATTTACCCGTGGTATTTCATCAAAGTTCATCATTATAGTAATCATATTAAATAGGGAAAATTGTCAAATCTCAAATATATTTTCAGGAAATGCGAATAAAAACACCAGCTAGGCATTTTCAAATTGAAAATTGATTATCAAATATAATTTAGGATAAAAAAAAATATAGGTATTCAGGCATTTGGGGAAAATTGCATCTTCTTTATATGCTTATACAATATTTTAGTTCTTCTCTTTACTTCAATTGTTATATAATACATATTGTAAAAAGCTTGTGTTATCATTGCCAGACATATCACATATCACGTCTAATTTCATAACATGCTAATAAGCTTTCGGTATCTAATGCTAAACTAAAGGAAATTTGATTTCATTTTTTTTCTTTGACTGGGTACAAATGTCAACTTTTTACAAGACCGTTTCTAAGACTTCAAAGAACCTTGAATCATATTGAGATGGATAAAAATGAAAATTTTTGCATGCAAATTATCTCAATTTCAAGCTTCATTTTGAGACTTTTTAAATAAAATGATAAATTTAAGAGTTGTCTTTCCTGGCTAAGGATCGGATATTCTGAAGGACTTCTCTTCCATTGTCATTGCTTCTGTATGGTTCTGCCATGTCAGAAATAAAAGTACCAAAGATACACAATATCAATTGAACATGTTAATATATTTAAGAGGTCAATACATTAAAGAGACAAACATTCAATGAAATAAAAATGTATACAAAAGGGAAACATAATATGCAAACAAGTATATTAGACACTGCGGCGACCAGCTAGAAGTATTTGTTTGTAACGAATGTGAAGGTTTTATATTTCCCAGTGCAGGTACTGGAGATGCAGTGTAAGGTTAGAAAATTAATATGGTGTATGCCTATTTAAAAGTCGTGTTCAGCTTTAAGAGTCTTTTTTATTGTAATATTTGGTAAATAATTGTCACTTTGCCGGATCCTATGTATGACCATTTTAATTTGCTTTTCTCTTCTTCACTTTTAAAAAGGCATTTAAAAACAATGTCAATTTTTTTTTTTACAGTTACGTATAATTATTATACTATGTACATCCTTCGGTACATGTACTGTGAAATGTATGGAGATAACGAACAAGCTCAAAAAACATTAAACAATACAAATTATGGAGCAGAGCAAACATGGACGTCTAAAACATCAGAGAAGGGATCAAGTACCGTGGAGGAGTGAGCATCCCCTGCCGACCGGTCACACCCGTCGTGTGCTCCTTGTCATGATCGGGAAATAACAGAAAAATCCGTCGACAATTCAGTGTGTAAATAATGGCCTAACAATTAGTATGAAAAACGTCAGTCAGCATTTGACTTAATGATAAATTGTATTTACTGACAATGTCATTGTATCGACCATAGATCTTACGAAATGACGACTTTAAACGCGAGACTGGTGACATTCTTGTTTCATCAACTTGTTTGTCAATAACTTACCTCGTTATCGAAATTTTTCATACGTAGGGCATGCTCTTGCGTATCGAATCAACTGAGAGATATAAACCCCGTTTGCAAGTGATGAAGGTATACTGCTGCATAAGTAAGGAAAGTTGACGATTGAAAAGTTAAAGTCATCACGTTTATCATAAAGCTTGGTTGTTAGATTACCATTAAAGTCTTTTTCAAGTAAAATATCCAAATATGAAACAGATGTGTCAGACTATGTGGTATCTTTCATTTCAAGCTCACTGGGATATATCGTATCGACATATGAATGGAAATAACCATTGTTAATTGACAATACGTCGTCGATATATCTGAATGTCGAGTTGAAGGCCACAGCAAGTGTTTACTTCTTTTCACGTATAAGATTTTGAACAAATTCTGCTTCATATGAATACAAAAATAGGACTGCTAATAAATGGGCGCAATTGGTACCCATGGGAAATTCCAAAGATTGTTGGAAGACCTGGTCTCCAAAAACCACATAGATATTGTTAATCAGAAACTCAAGCATCTTTTTAATATCAACTTCAGAGTACTTGTGTGTACAATCAGAATGTTTTTAACAAAATAATTTTGCAAATGACCAATGGCAAGGTAAGTTAATTTACGAGTTCCATATTTTTTGAAAAAGCAGCTGTCAATGATAACAAAAAGCCTGGACTTTAATTTAAAAGTTGAAAAGTCGTAAGTTTTTATGTTGTTGATTTTTGTAAAATTTTGATTTCAAATTTTCCAAAAGTTCCTTGGAATTTTTAAGTATCATCCGATTTACACCACTTCTAGAATATATTGTTGCACAGTAATCCTGAAGTTTCTCCTGTAAATTTAATTAAGAAACGTGCCTTTAATCATGGGTGTCAACCCCCTTCCGTTGTAGACTTGGTTATTGAAAAGTATGACCATGTTGATTATAAGCATTTGTTATCATCTGTAAAGCCAAAGTCTATGCTTAACTAGTGTATAAACTATTCAATATATTGTAAAAATAATTACCAACATGCCAGGTGTCGATCAGCAGTTTTGTACATACATGTATATACACAATGGAGGCTGACTGTTCGTATAAAGATACCTGATAATTTTATTTTCCTCTTACAAAAGTCACAACCCTACAACATCATTTTCATTTTTGTAATGCTATTAATACATGAAGAATAATGCTTTCCTTGCAAAACATTGAATTCTTTTACTAATAGAAGAAAAAAAATCTTACCTAATTCATATTATATAAAGTAATGAAGGTCTCATAACCAGTGTTCATACATTTATGTAAGTAACCAGTTATTATTATTATTATTTTTTTTTTTGTTAAATTTTCAAGAGACTCAAGGCTTGCTGAGCATCTCTTGAAAATTAAGAAAAAAATAAATAAGAGTTTGAGAAAACTGGTGTCTAATGAGCATTGATTATGGGACTTTTTTCTCCCAATATAAAAACATGGACTTGTACATGAGGTTCACGTGTATTTCATAACGTTATGATGAATACAAAAACGGGAAAACTGTGCAGTAGTGACGAGACAAAGTTGATAAAGGGAGAACAAATAATGACATTAAAATTTGATCAGTTCAAATTAATATTTAAAGTAAGAGGCTCTTGGACAACAACTATGAGTAACTTCATCAGATTTCAAAGAGTAACTTTATCAGATTTTAAATTAACATAGCCCTACCCAAATTCTAAGGGACCTCTGAATCCACAAAACATAGTTTATGGGGAGGGGGGGGGGGCAAGGATCACGAAACCTTCTTTGCCCAAAGATGCTCTACACTAAAATTTGTTCAAAAGTTTACGACCGACGGACGACTCACGACAACAAATGAAAACAGCTTTCAAAAGGTCACCTAAGGAAAGACCAAAAGCTGAAAGGTCAAGATTGACCTTTTTTCCTCTTCATCTGCATATTATTCTTTTTATCAGTTCTTCTACCCTCTTCTTTTTTCCTTAAGCAGAGGACACAAAATATCTGAATTAGCTTGTTCCTATCATAGGCACTCCCCAGCTAGCACAAAAACATTTTTAAAATGTTTTAAAAACATTTTCAAAATGTTACGAAAACATTTTCAAAAATATTTTAATCACGTGATTTTGTATGGTTTTTTAAACGTTTTTAAAACATTTTAGCATAATGTTTCAGCAAATGTTATCAGAACATTTTATTAAAATGTTATGAAAACATTTTAAAAAATGTTTTAATCACGTGATTTTATATGGTTTTTTAAACGTTTTTAAAACATTTTAGCAAAATGTTTCAGCAAATGTTATCAGAACATTTTATTAAAATGTTATGAAAACATTTTTAAAAATGTTTTAATC